TTGCCCTATTTTCATGATCTCCGTTGATGATATTCAAGAGATCAGCTGAACCCAGCAACTTCCCTTCTTGGTCCCCTTCTGCCATATAGCTACTATAATTATTCAGCAAGCAAGCAAAGTAGATTGATTGATTGATAGAATTAAGCTCTAGTGTGGTGGCCTTATATAGAACAAATTACGGTGAAAAGAGATGCTCATGCAACGTGGTGGTACCACCACAGATGCATGCCTTCATCAATTAATTAATTAATTAATCCTAGCTAGTTATTAGTTAGTTAATTATGATAATTATTTAATATCTATTGGCAAATTGACATGGATCCAAAGGCTGGCTTGACTTCTATACAAGTAGACGTGGGCTAGCTGTTTAATTAAAGCGAGATTCATCGTCTATTCGAAATGCAACTTCAACTACTTTTTATTTTTTCGATGCCCTACATAAGAACTGAGTAGAAAGACAATGGCCGGTAGTTATTAGTTTTATTTACTTAGAGAATAAGACATCAATTTCATCAACTATAAAAAAGGATCAACCATAGATAAAATATATTTAAGGATCTAAACGTATGGATTTCATGTTGTGGTCCAGAATTTTCTCCTAGAACGAAAGGAAAAAAGAAACTGAAATCTTTTTTATTGCTGATTATTATACATAAAGCCAATATTACTTCCTCCATTCATTAGGTATAGGTTCTTTCCTCCACTTTCATCAGGTATGTCTGATAACATTCTTCCAGAATAGTGAAGCATGAATCGGCTGGATACAATTTGAATTCAAATTAAAAACTTAAAAAACAATAAATAAATCAAGCTTGTAGGATTTAGATGAACAAAATAATAGTAAATTTAGCTTAACCCCTTCAAAGTTATTTTTCCTCAACTACACAACCCTTCTCTTTTTTCTTTTTTTCTTTTTTGAATAAAATCCTGTTTTTTCTAAATAAAACTCGATGACTAGGATCCAACTTGGCAAGTTACCTAATCAAACGCAAAATCGAATTTATTGTACTTTTTCTATTCCTAAAATACCCCCAACTAAGCCATTATTGCATTTTGTATATTAATGTAGGAAGACATATAGAAATAATTTTTAATTAGATTTTAACTAATAACACAAGTTTAATTTGAAAAGATCTCCAAATAGATGTAAGAATTAATTTGGTAAATGTTTTTAAATTTAACATACCTAATCGGTTTATTTAATAATTTTTTAAATATATTTAAAGTATACATGATTAATTATCTATTATATGTGTACATGCAATTTTATGTTGAAAAAATAAGGGAGTTTCACTATTATGCCTAATATACGTGCCCAAATTATAAAATTAAAAATAAACAAAAAACCCTACATGAAATGGACTTTAGAAACACACCCAAAGCTCATTTACAACATAACAAAGAGGCTTTGAACTTCCTATAATTTACAAAACTGTCATCGGTTTTCATAAAACAAGCTCAACTGGCAATACTAGGTTGTTTGTTTGGGTTTGTTTATAGAAATTAAATGGTATATTGTTTATCTATAACACTAGTGCTAAGAATTGGTATATAACTAAATATCTCAAAAAATAACGTACCTATTACTTCTTTTACAAAAAATAATGTACTTAGTATGAATTTAATTAAAATAATATACCCAAATTTTACAAACGCATTTGGGATATAATTTACCTAATAATTTCCTATTACGCAATAATATAACTTGTATTTTACCTATTATGGGTATATTGTTGATATATTAAAGCCAACACATTAATATGTATATTGTGAAAATAATTTACCTACCCGTATTAGAGATATATAAGATATATAGGTAAATTTGTGGGTACATTATATTCTATTGTATTGATAATAATTTATCTTTTATATTGTTTTTATTTTTTACCAAATCTTTTATATTGTATTGGATATATACATGTTGTAGGTATATTAAAGCCAACATAATAATAGGTATATTGTGAAAATAATCTACCTACATGTATTGAATATATACAAGATATGTAAATTTGTAGGTACATTATATTGTATTGATAATAATTTACCTATTATATTTTATTGGGACGAAATTTGAGGGATTTTTATTGGTAAAAAATTTAAGGTTTTTCTTTTATTGGTTGAAAATTTAAGGATTTTTTTTTATTGGTCGAAATTTTAGAGCATCCGGTCATTTCAATTTTATTTCAATAAATTAAACTTTTGAGTTATAGTGGTAAAGTTTAGTTCATTTTAGAGTTCAATATTTCATTTTAGAGGTCAATAAAATGAACTTTGAAATGAAATTCATTTCAATAAACTGGTCCACCATATTAACTCTACAACCTCTCTCTTATATATGGACAACATTACTTTTTACTTTTTTCATTACATTTAATTCAAAAACTACAGTTATATTATTTCTAACTAGTACTCTTCCTACTTTGACAAATTTGTCTTTTTCTTACCCCTTTGAAAACGTACGTCTACTTGCTCTCTCGTAAGGGTTTCTTTTTTCTTTTTTTCTTTTTTTTTTCGTCTGAACCATGAGGTGGTCCTGGATGGGCCCCAACTATGGGTGGCACCTTTAAGCCTTAACCACAACCCAGACTAATCCCCACTCACACCGGGTCGGCCCGTAAGGGGTAAAATGTTGGCCAAAGTGGTGACTCCGTACGAGAGCAGGGATCGAACCCCTGACCTCTCTTAAGGAATGAGAGTGCCGAACCACTCACACCAACAACCTTGGTTGTTTCTTTTTTCTTTTTTTTTTGGTCTGAATGTTTCTTTTTTCTTTCAGTTGTTGGTAAAAGCTAACTTTGTTAATTACGTACATATACATATATATATTGTATTATTCTAAATATATATAAAAATTGTCACGCATAGGCCCCTGTAATCTATGCAGGGTAAGCAAATCTTTTGCGGGCCATTCATCTATCTAATGACATTTTGTACAGAAAAATATAAAGCTTGTATGCTACTTGCTCACTGGACAGGGACACATATATATAATTATATTGATACATGGAATGGAAATGCAGCAGGAAAAGGAATTGTGCCTCCCTATATCTCATACAAGAAAAGGATCCCATAGTTTTCATGAATTACAGGACCCAAAAAAAATATATTAAGCTTTTAGAGAAAACTATGATTAATTAATTTAAAAGCACATGGACGAACACGATGACAAGGGTTTTTGTAAACTCTTATCCTTGGCCCTTGCTCTAATAATTTGAAGGATGAGGTAACAACATTTGTCCAAGTGGTTTCTAACTAATGACATTGACATTGGCAAAGTATTAATGATAATTGACATATATATGTAACCAATCATACGTTAAAACAAACATAATTATGTCGACATTATATATATATATTGTTTATGTACGTACCAAAATTATAAGCGAGGATGTGGATGCAGAAGCACTTGACCCTAATATAGCTTATAAATTAATGCTTACGTAGATTTGTGAGAAAATAAATTCATTTTGTCTGTCATTTCCGGTTTGTTTCTATAGATCGATGTATTGGAGGACCACTTCCAGGGTTTGTTGGGTTTCGTTAACCAGAAATGATTATTGAAACAAATCCAGTACCTAGTTTTTCAAATAACAATTGAATTAACTGTACGAAAGCAAATATATATATTGGCAATTTGACAAAACTGAAATTAAGATATAGCTAGGGCTCTGGAGGGAGGACCACCCTTACGTATGCACATACGACAGCTCAGTTGAATTTGTGTCTTAACTGTGATGATGCATCATGCATGCACACCAATTACCAATTACCAATTACCAATTTGTGTAGAGTGCCTGAACATGAAGAAAATATGCCCTTTTAATTTTCCCAGACATTTCCAGCTCAGTGCTCACCTGATCTTCTGTCATCGTCTCTCCTCCCAACAGCACTACTACTAGGCAGTAGGCACTAGCTTTAGTTTTGTTGGCTTGGAATGGGACTCTCTCTGTCTCTGCCTCTAACTTGCAAATTGTATATATATCACATCTTTCGCCTGCAAAATGGTATTAACGGTTGACTTTAAGGAAGCAGGTGAAATAATTGTAAGCCAGCAGCCCAACAGAACAATATCAAGTCGAATTATTACTAAATGAATTCATCAGCTTCAGTTTTCGAGATTATTAACGGTTGTGTTGTGTGGTTATGAGATCAACTGTATGCATTAATTATATATGTAGATGTACAGGTGTACAGGTGTACAGGTGTACAGGTGTACTGGTGTAGTGGTGTAGTGGTGTAGTGGTGTAGTGGTCTAGTGGTCTAGTGGTCTAGTGGTCTAGTGGTCTAGTGGTCCTCTCCTTCTCTATGGCGCTCTATCTATTTCTATTTGTTAATTGTATTCCTTGATGTTGTGATCTGAAAGTAAGGATTGACTAATTAAGAATATGAATGTTGGAGATAAAAGATTCGCTAGTTTAGTCCAATGGCTGATCGATACTCAAGTAACAAACAACTGCATTGCATATATGCTCTCTCACGTTTAAGCACATGCAATGACACTTCATTTTCATACTGCAGTCTGCACCTACGCCCTTAGTCCCTTAGGCCCTTAGGCCCTTAGGTATAGGTAGGTCCCCCTACCCTTGATTAAACTAACTATAAAATTAGTAATCTTACTTTACAATTTACATGCATAATGCATTGCATATACAAATAACAAATTTATTTATTTTCTGTAGATATGTGCTATACATATACAATACTACAACTCATAATATTCATGTCAAGAGTCAAGCAATCAATAAAAATACAAAAAATACAAAAGTATGTTGGACTTTACTGTCATATTTATTAATTAATAAATATGTATGTGATTAGTGAATGTAATTGTAAAAGTTGTTGCGTTCACCAATATTTGGGTCAGAGGCCCATACTTACCTACTCAGGCCAATTACATTAAAACTTATCCAGCCCACCTGCAGTATGCCATAGAACTGGGCCTTATTATGGGCTCCTAAACCCAGCTTCTTTTTCTTGGGGGGTCATGACAACTGTATGTACCCATAACATTTTGGGGAGCTTCTATGATGGAGTCGTAAAATGAGGGGTTACAATAAGAGGGTTTTCAATCCGACAGTTTAATAATAACTTTACATTGAATCAAACGGCTATTAAGAACCCCTCATTCTAGCCTCCATGTAACATTTTGATGTGGAATAATTGAAGAATGATAGAATCTGATTGATCTGAATATACTTAAAAATACTACCTCCTCCCGAATCCTGATATAAAACTCTCCCTAAGTACTCTGCACATTTAGAGTGGCGACCAACTTTGACGCTCTCTTCTTTTGAGTCTTGTCTCCGACATAAGCTACTAAAGAATGAAAATAATTAGGCTTCCCCGACATTAATATTGTACATGAGGTCTCGAAGAGTAGGAGAAATTGCTGGAGAAGACATGTTGAGCAAAGAAAACTTGACTTGCAAACTAATCTTGCCCTTCACCAAGTTCAACTTCGCTCCAGTGACCAACCAATACCCAGGACTATCCTGTGGGCCCCTACACAGATGTGACATGTCCACATATTTCACAAACTTCTGTAACTGCAATGGCACCGGAGGCCCCGTAGGAAACACACTTGAGTCCACAATCACTTGATCGTCATCAGGCTGCACTTTCTCCCTCACCCAATTATTGCCCGGAATTGATGTGCTTATTGCACTGAAGAGGCCAGACGAGGTTGACTTTTGAGAAAGTTGAGAGGGGCTCTCTGTCCAGTTTGATTGGACGAGAAAACAATCTGAGACTTTGGTGAACAAAAGCCGGAGATGGAGAACACTCTTTGTCTCATGTTGCTTCACGACAAGTTGAGCTCCGGAGACTACGAAGGCCGCAGTTTTGTTGGGGGACGTCCATTTGGGGTCGTATTTTACTGGCACCGTGCAGACATGGGAAAATCTTTTCCAGTTTATTGCTTCGAAGTAGCGGTGGTCCCCGATGTCATCTGATCCTCGCCATGTTGGTGGCTGATCAGGATCTATCTTGTTCTGCTGCAACATAAATGGAGTGTTTGATAGATGTTGGAGGTGCACAGCTAGCCTGAGATAGATAGATAGATAGATCAATAATATTAAGCTACATTGTTTTATCAAGGGGAATTAAGATGATAAATCCCATTGTCTTTTTTTACCTGTTGCATTTCCTGCCCTCGAGATACAAGCGCATCCCTGTGACAGGCCTATTTCCAACTCTAACCTGATGATCATAATATTATATTTAGCATAACATAATATATAAGATGGATCAAAAGAAAAACAATGGATGCATAAAATAAATCGAATTCAGATTTAGAAATGGAATATAGTGTACCTGTGCAGTGTTTACATATAGTTTAGGACCCATCAAGCTGAAGTGAAGAGCAGGCGCCCGCGTGGCCCTATTTGTGGCAGGACCTAGAGCCAGGTCATTGAGAACAGGAGCCCAAAGTTTGTGGGCTTGAAAATCAAGAAAGTACTGCAAATCAGCTATAGGAGGCTTGTCTGCACGCGTGTACCAAATTAACAAGAGATTAACTACTTAATTACAATACAATATAAGACATCAGCGAGCGATGAATAATTAAGTACCTGAGAAAGAATTAACTTACATCGAAGATAGAGGTTGATGGCATGGGATAAGAAACCTTTGCCGGGCACACCCTTAAGTAGAGACGTGATGGGAATGAAGCTAAATTGAATCGCATCCGGCATCGATCCAACGGTTTGAAGCCACTCGCAGTGGCTACTGGCCAAGGGATCTCCTCCTCTTTTATAGCCTATCACGCTAATACCCTGCAAAAAGTCATCTGCCACATCGTCATTACAACTACTGTTAATTCTTTAAAACCAAACAAGAACAATTGAACCCTAGTTTATTTTGCCATACATCTTTTGTGTTTGCGGTGGAGAAGCCATTAAGGGCCACAGATTTGGGATCATGATGAAAGACATTGAAGGCCGGTGGTGCCTTGTGTCTTTGGTCTTTTGCTTTGGAGTGTAATGGGGAGAAATTGCATGTCCCTGTAAAGTGCTGATCTCCAAGCTCGTTCAAGTGATTTTTGAGGTCAGATGGCTCCATGTTAGAAGATTTATCTTGCTTTACTAACACCACATCCTCGCCCCCAATACTCAATCCCACCACGATGTGAGTCCCATACTTCTCTATGAACCTGTCAAATGTGTACGTAAGAATTTATCGTAAGTCTATAAATTATATTGGTTGACCAAAATGCTTTCCAACTAGACAGCTAATCCATCCAGAACCAAAGAATTGGTCAGGCCAAGAAAGTACGTTCCACAATGGGAAATCAAGTAATACAGTACTACTGCGCCCCAATTATGTGACTTGTTGTACTTATCATTATGTCAAATGGAAAACCAAGCCTTCATGTCAAATGGCAGGCCAAAACCAGTTTGAGTGGTCAAACAATATTTGCAATCAATGGCATGCAATAGGCGTCATCTCCATAGGCATATTATTGTATAAGGTAATGCTATACTTACCACATTTTTACAGGATATATTTTAGTAATGGTTAAACATGATCGATCCCCACAAGGCACAACATATAGACATCCTAGTTTGCACATATACAGAGGGGAAGACATAGGGCTCTCTTTACTTTTATATTAAGAGAGCGTTAATTATTGAGATTGGCAATTAGCAGGCAATAAAAGTCAGGATTTTATAAGGTTCGAACATTTCTATATGAAACGTGATCAACTACCAAGAATGGCCAAAACTTTTGACGACGTACGGGGTTACTAATCTTGAATGATTATGACTTTTATTAAGAAAAAGAATGAGTGCATACAAGGAAAGGAAAGTGACCTTGTATATTTTTATGTCTATTCTTTTGCCTCGAAATTCATGCCCCCTCTTCAGGAAATAAACCTAGGATTTGTTAGTAAACCAAGCCACTAATTTTGATTTGCCGTCCAATATGAATTTAATTTTTTTTTGTATGCTAAGACTATTTTATTAATTAGCAGGCAGATACCAAAAGATAGAGCTGCAATTACTCCGCATATTATTGTATTATCTATACAAAATATATATTTGAGCCCGAAAATTAGGGATGAAATTAAGTTGGAAGAGTTAGGAGGCGAACTCGAACTCAACCCAAAACCCACTCAATTGGTTTCCTTGATATGAAAAGAAAAACAAGTTACAAGTAAAAACTAAAAACTAAAAATCCATATGATCGAAGTCTTGAATTAATTCATACCTTGCAAGGGCAGGGGGATCCCAAGTGGACGGAACAGAATGACGAACTTGATCGGCAAGAACAAGAGGGTACCTATCGATATGAACATTGAAGAAGATGATGAAGTAACCATCCAGAGCCAAGTGTTTGACGTTGGCTGCATCCGCTGCCCACGAACCACTTTCGAAACCAAACATGGCATTGAACAACCCTGATGGGATTTTCCCAGGCACACTGGCCTTTTGGTTGAAATATTGCGACATCTGCATGAATTATATTCATTTCATGCACTAATGTTATTAATTCAATCGATAATATTATTTGTAAAAGAAGACACATATCTAATATTATTACCTGATTGAATGTGAAGATATCGGATTGGTAACGTGTACGATCGCCTTTGTCACATTTAATATCGGTGGAGACTTGTTGGATGGACCCGAAGCCAGGAACTGCGAGTTCTTTTTTATCGGCGTCGTTGAGCAAAACCAGTCTTTGTTTGCCTTTGCAGTACTTGAGCCGGAAATCTGAGGTTAAATCAAACCCTTTGCCTAGGCTGCTTACAGCCATCTCCACGATATCATCACCGCCACTCATCTCTCTCTCTCTCTCTCTCTCTCTCTCTCTCTCTCTTTTCTGATCTCTGTATCTTCTGACCCTATATATATGAGATGAGATGAGGTTTGTATATCCCTTCCTGTGTTTTAATTGGATGATAAAGTTGATGGGAAGGAAGGGAAGAATAGAGGTGTGAAGAGATATAGTTTGAGAAAAGGAAGAGAGACAAGTGGAAGAGAGAGAATAATGCTATAGACTTGATTTGTAACATATGGGAAGGTCTGAATATGAAATGGGAAAGAAGAATATGGTAATAATCAAAAGGTCGTGAGAAGATGTTTGACCGTTCTCTTCTCTCTCTCATATTTTATATAATATATATATCAATATTTTGTTTCTTTTTTTTTCAACCTCAATTATTACTAATTATTAATTGATTCTCTTAAGCAAAGACTGTTGGTTTGTTTTGTTATTTAAAAATATAAATCCCGGTCCCAGGAGATAGGTATAAGTAACACGTCATTAACCAACACAGTTGCAAAATCATCTCTAGTTGAACGTCAAACATCTAGGAAGGTGGGAGGCAATACACCAAAAGAATTTATAATTTCTCAAATTCTCATACTGATCTGTCTCTTTCTGCTCTACCTCTACCCCATTTAGTCGTGCAATATCATAGTCACTTAAAAAAAAAAAGAAATTATACAAATAATATATATAGATTGATGAAGCGAGTAATAATTAATTGGGACATGTAGCGTGTGATAAAAGGTGTGGGTTTCTTTCTTCATCAATCTATATATATTATTTGTATAATTTCTTTTGTTTTTTAGTGACTGTGATATTGCACGACTAAATGGGGTAGAGGTAGAGCAGAAAGAGACAGATCAGTATGAGAATTTGAGAAAGAATCATGCTAGGGAGATCAATTTGGGATACCAACTCTCTAATAGAGGTGGAGCCCACCAATACAATGAGTCTCACGCTCTATTAGAGAGTTGGTACACAAATTGATCTCCCTAGTTGGTCTTCCTAGCATTTTCCTTTGAGAAATTATAAATTCTTCTTTTGGTGTATTCCCTCCCTCCCTCCAGTGACAGTGTGAAACCGAAAAGGCCAAAAGGTTTTGAATTCCATCTCTCTCACCTTTGTTGTCCCTATGACACGACACGTAACCTCTTATTTGCCGTGTATGTGGTCTGAGACCCTCTCTGATGACGTGTTAATGATGCGGACTGAACCTCCACCAATTACACTTGACTAAGCCAGCTGAGCTCTGAGCTACCCGCTGACTAATGATTTGCGGACCTTCTTCAACAAGTATCTGCGTCGATGACTTACTTTTAACCAGTTTCTACTTTCATTTTGCTGAGTTTATTTTATAATATACTTGTTCCAGTATTCATTATTTGTGCTTCTTTTTCTCTGTGCAAGAAGCATTATCATATCAAAATTGAATCAGTCAAGTATGAACTAGACGAGTGACTTTTTTTTGAGTCCATCTTTGACACGACCACAAGTCCTCAAGTTCTTGAAAAGCCTTTGTGTTCACAAAGGATGTTGTGAAAGTCAAACGGACAAGACAAGAGATGCCTAATTTCTCTACTTGGTCAAATCAAATGAAAACATAAACCAAACCACCTATATTATTTTCTAAACGAAAACACCAAAGTTTTACGCGTGCGCTCTGCTCTCTCTTGGTCTGGGCTTGGGACTTTGACTGGGCCAGCTAATGGTGCGTCGGGAGAGCAAATTGTTAACCAAAGTAGACTTCCCATCCCACAACATATATGGAAACACGAACTAAAAACCCGAACAAGGAAGGGAAACAGCTACACAGGAAGACCAAAGAACGAGAATCCTTCCAATTCCAAAGGTAGCAAGGCAACCCAAGAAAATTATGACAAATAACACAAGGCTTAATTAGCATCTAAAACAAAAGACAGGACAGAACAGAACACGAAGATTATCGTCGACGGGCAGGGCGGTATAATTCTATTCAAAAACAGAAATAAGAGATCAGCATGTAAAACACAGCATTATTATATAATTTAGGAAGATTCACTATTATACCCAATATAGGAATCGAAATTATTATAAAATAAAAAACCCCTATATGAAATTGACTTAAAAACACACCCAAAATTCATTTACAACATAACAAAGAGACTTTTAACTTCTTTTAAATTATAAAACTGCCATTAATTTCTTAAAACAAACTCAACCTTATAAAGAAGCCCAAAACATTCAATAGGGCATTAAAGTAATTTAATAATTAAAATTAAATTCAATAAGACCAGCTGTCATTTTTTAGGTTTTTTAATAGAAATTAAATGATGTAAAATTTATCTATATTATTAGCGCTAAGAATGGGTATCTCTATAATTTATAGGGTATAAGAATTGTGCCGGACCGAGTTATCAAGGAAAGCACCGCACAAGATAAGCTTATCGTTGCCGCTTTGTAAAATTGCTATACTGACGGGATCCGCATAATTACATTATTGTCCAAAACACAAAGAAAGCCTACAGGTCCTGGTTTCACTTGCTTTACTACGTGCTGCTACTATTCACCAACTTCAAATTTCAGCAGCATCTTGGTCTTCAAAAGAGCATAATTCCTCCAATTAACTGCGCTCTACAATTCTAGATTCAAACTAAAAGTATTGAGGTTCTACACTGATGAACACAACCCACCAAAAGGGTTCAAAGTTCAAACTACATTTCTGCCAAGGTTAAAATGTAAAACAAAAAATATCTAATATCATCAATCTGTGTTGAAGCAATCCAGACAACAATCTCTTCTTAAGGGGGGTTTACCCCTAGAAGATGGGTCTTCCAAGAAAAGGTAGCCTAGGCAACAGTTATGAATGAACTGCAGCAAAACAAAGTTCGGATTTCATGCTCAAACACATTTACAGCTTTACAACAACAAATGCAAAAGTTTCGGATTGCACAGCTTCTCTTAACACTACAGTAATTTACATGATGAACAAAAGAAGGAATAAACACGGCAAAGTAATGCAAAATACACCACTCACCTACATCATGGCAGTTACAAACAGAGAAAACAAGGCAGTGCCCCATTCTTTATCTTTGGTAAGCCTACATTCTTTATCTTTGGTAAGCCTACAGAGGTACTGTCTGCTCTGACACAGATGCCAACCCCTGCAACAACCTAACAATTTCCCCTGTATCATCCAGATAATACTTGGCTTTGCTGGGCTTTCGGCCAACCGTACACGCAAATACTTCAGCTCTGGGTGCGATGGATGGGCCTGCTATGGAACTTGTGATTACCTCAAACATGTCTTCGTCAGATCTGTCATCACCTATGCAGAGAACAAAATCCGGTGACATTCCCCTTTCTTGCATGGTGGAAAGTAGACGTTTGGCTACAAGTCCCTTGTTTACACCCTGCACACACACAAGAATGTTCAGTTTATCGAAATAATGTAAGTCCAATTGAGCCAATGTGTTAGCTTCTGTGAGTGAAGGCGGCATAAACCCTATGAGTGAAGAAGACTTGACTAATCACTTATGCTTGGGGAAAAAAACAAACAATACTACATCTGTTGTCATGGAAGGGCCATATTGTTTTCAAAATTTTCATTTGTCAAACAGTATGGAATACCTATTTAACATTAAGAAAATTGTATTTATAATTTTGGTATGACCTCCAGTTTGAGCCCGGTCACTCTCTGACCCTCAACCCCCTCCAAACTTCTGATATCTTGACCAACCCAATGTTAAAAGACATCGCCTTTCTCCGTTTCACACGTGCTACTAAGCTTATGTGAATTTGGATACTGATCATACAGGTTGGAGAAATCAAAAAGGAGATTTTACAGAACAGAGATAGCAACTTAACAAGGAGAGGTGTATCAAACCTGTGGCTTAACCTCCACTACATTCTGCCCGCTTTTAACATTAACTGGTTCATTAGCAAGCACACTTTCAAGATGATCAAGAAGTTCCTTAGCTTGACATGATCCAAAATCTGGATCAGCATCCTCATAAGACCACACAAGTGCAGTTTCCTTATCTTCAATGGTGGAACCATCAGTTGTTTCAGTGTAAAGCTTCATTACTGGCTCTGCAATCTGCTTCCAACTGCTATCTGCAACTGGTGCACATGTTTCCCATTCTGCATCTCGCTTCAATCTGAATCCATATAATCATTAGTTTTAATCTAACCAATATTTCCATCGGTGCAAACATAAAACTTGAAATTTGAACAAATTTACCGTAGAAAGTAGCCGTGTTCAGCAGCAATTCCAAGCTTCTCGCAAGGAGAGAGCCATTCAGCAAGTACTTTACGGCTTTTTGCACTAACAATGAAAACCATGTTGTTCTTGTCTCTGCACAAGTTATTCAGGATACCAATGGATTTAGAAGTTGGGCTCTTATCAATGGAAGCCTGAGGCATCAATGTACCATCATAGTCAAGAAGGATTGCCCTAGTTGTGGTCCTTTTGTAAGCTGAAACGATATGCTCCATAGAGAGCTTCCTGAAGTTCGAATCAAGGGCCACAACTCTGAAACTCAAACCGAACCCAATACCCCAGCACCTCTGACGCAAATGGCCCCTACATGTTCTTTCCAGATCTTGGAGGAAACTACGAGCCCAGTACCCAACATCATGGGTACTGACATATCTATAATGCTTCTCGTGCCGGAGCTGTTTTTCTGGCTCCGCCATCTCTAGGGCACAGTCCATTGCATCTGCCACAGCATCAATATTCCAGGGGTTCACACGAATTGCTCCACTCAAAGAAGGGGAGCAGCCAATGAACTCGGAGACAACTAACATGCTCTTCTTCGGGTTGGAGGGTTCCAACTCCAAAACCTTATCCAATTTCGCATTCCTTTGCCGACTGATTATGTATTCGTATGGTATTAGATTCATCCCATCCCTGACAGCCGTCACCAAACAACACTCGGCAACAACATAATATGCAATTCTCTCATAGAACTTGAGTGGCTCATCAATCAACACAACAGGCTTATACCCAGGTTTCCCAAATGTTTCATTAATTCGCTTCACAGTTGAGGATGTCTCAGCCTGAACTTCTTTCACGTCTTTTCCCCGACCCCTGGCTGGATTGGCTATCTGCACCAATACAACCTTCCCCTGCCACTCTGGATGCTGAACAAGCAGCTGCTCCATTGCCAAAAGCTTCAAACTTATACCCTTAAAAATGTCCATGTCATCTACCCCGAGTAACATTATCCTTCCTCGATCACAGAACTGTTTCATAAGCTCAGCAACCTTGGCTTCAGTCTCTGGGAGGCTCAAAACCGACTGCAGCTGACCCATGTGTATACCAACAGGAAGAATCTTGATGCTAACAGTCCGACCGTAATACTCAAGGCCTATGTAACCCCGCTTGGATTCATAGGTAAGACCAAGCATTCGACTACAGCACGAGAGGAAATGCCTTGCATAGTCAAATGTATGGAATCCAATTAAATCAGAATTTAAAATGGCTCTTAGAATCTCTTCCCTGACAGGCAATGTCTTATAAATTTCAGATGAAGGGAACGGGCTATGGAGGAAAAACCCAAGTTTCACGCGATTGAATCTCTTCCTCAAGAAAGTTGGCAACACCATCAGATGATAATCATGTATCCACACAAAATCATCTTCTGGGTTGATCACTTCCATGATCCTATCTGCAAAAATCTTGTTCACTGATACATACGCTTGCCATAAGGACCGGTTAAATCTACCACCGAGGTCCGGCGAAAGAGGTAGCATGTAATGAAACAGTGGCCACAACTGCTGCTTACAGAACCCATGATAATACCGGCTGAAAAGATCTGGTGGGAGAAAGGTTGGGACACATTTAAAGGTCTCGAGAAGAATTTGGGAAACCTCGTCTTGTTCATTTGGGTGAATTTCTTCCTTAAGACAACCAACATAAATGACTTCAATCTCATCATCCCCCAAACCATCTTTCAATTGGAGAAGTAGTGAATTCTCATCCCAATTGAAAATCCAACCCTTACTGGTATCTGATTTTCTCTGCGCCCTTATGGGGAGCTGGTTAGCCACTATTATGATTCGGTCACGTTGGACTGAAGATGAAGACATGTCTTCGGAGCACGCACTCTCCGACGGATCATCATCAACATCGGATATCAAACTGGCAACAGTCATAATACGTGGAATTCGCCGGCCAATTCGGCCAAACGAAGGAGCCTCGCCTGAGGCAAGCTCCAAAAGATTGGAATACGATTTGGACACCATTTGTTTCTAGACTGGAACTCTAGTTCATCAAAGCCTCTCTATATCTATCCCCTTGCCCACATAGATGAAACAACCCATTAAAGATTACGTATTTTCTATGACAAGCAAAAAACCCCTTTGAAAATTTATATCGCAGAAGCAACCGGTCTGAGTTTTGAGTGAGAGGTTACTGCTAGTACTGATAATTTCGAATGAAATCCTAGCTAAGGGATAAAGAGATTATGACAAGTTAAAGGCTGACTGCAAAAATCTTTGAAGATAAGTGAATTGAAACAAGGGAAGGATAAACCAAGAACTTTCTTCCTATCCAGATAAGAGGAGATGGTAAAAGGAATGGAATACATTCAGATCACACACAGCCCAGAAATATTCGGCAACCAAACATTCAACTAGACATTCTTTTTTTGATGAGGTTCAACTAGACATTCTCACACATGCACTGCTGAGAAAATATAGATTCAACTGAAACCAAACACAACAACAGCAATAACAAAACAAGATGTTACCAGTTTCAAAATTCAAACTTCCAGCAATAAAATTGAGAACAGTTTAAGATGTTACCAGTAGCTGAAACTGCAAAAACCCACTCTTTATTGAGTGGAATTGAGAAAGAACTAAGCAAAACGAAAGGTGAACATAAATCTAATCAAAGATAGGGAAAAAAGGAGACCCCAAAATTTGGTTGCTTTTCATGGGACTTTCCTGGTAATCACAGTCTTCCCTTATAATCTTCTCTCTCTCTCTCTCTCTCTCTCTCTCTGAGGATCAGCCCAACATAAAATAGTGGGATAATGTTCTGGACAATTTACTTTGTTTTTCACACATTTATTATTTTGTGGATTTACTTTGTTTCTTTCAAAGAATAAAAAAGATGAATAGAAAATGTTGAAAACTTCTGAGCCGTTGGATGCGGTATCGGAACGGATGTAACAGAATGGGACGGCTAGGAGAGTTTACGACAGAGATGTTGAGAGAGTAGTGGATGAGGTCTCTAGGCCTTATCCCTTGTCCTTTGGTGTGTCCGCCACGAGGGCTTCCTACATAACGGTGGGACCCACACCGAGGGTCTTGTCCGAAACTGGATGTCGTGAGCGTGCGACTCTTTACGTGGCGGACTATAAATCGGTTTTCCGTGACACGTGTCGATCTGTCCATGCTTCATTGACAGCTCGAGACTAGGCCCAGGGAGATGTGTCTCGTTTGACCGATTTATCGGATATGTCCGACAGTCGTTGCAACAAATATACTATTAACAACAACAAAACAACTAAGCTACACTGCCGGTGCAGATCAAAAATAAAAAATATTTCCGACCAAAAAAACAAAACAAAACAAAACAATGCTGCAATTTCTATGTTTTTTTTTCTTACAATGATGAAATCTAATTTCTTCCTTTGGCTTACTGTCAATTAACAAACATATTCTATCTACGTATGTATTTATAATATAACTTCAGAAAGTATGTATTCTATCTATGTATGCTATTTAGATATACAATATTGACCACTTTATGTGGCAACTGACATATCAATTAATGAATGTTGTCATGAGATCACTTACTAGGAACTATATGATTTTTTAATTGACATGACGACATTCATTAATTGACTTGGCATGACACATTAATTGCCACATAAGATGGTCAGCTAAAGTGGTCAATGTTGTGTGTCTAAATAGCATTAATCAAGAAAAAAACAGTGAATTATTAACTTTTATTACGAGCTCATTGTGACTGGTTTCTTCATCAAATCACCAAAGAAGCTTTAATATAAATTGCAATTAGGCTTGGCCATGGTAAAAGAGAGAGGACCGATGATAGGCTAAACATTTTTGTAGTAATCAAATATTAATAAATAAATAAATAAAATTTCTCAAACCTGTAATTACTTCACGATAGCATATTAAGATCATCCACAACAGCTTTGCAATCCGAAGAGTTGTTGACTAGTGCAAATCTGTAATTTGATAAATAACACATCAAAATGATTTTTTATTAAAGAAAAAAAGACAATGAGAATTTCATTTTTACTTCAAATACATTACCAAGAGTATATAAACTTTCAATTGAAATTGAGGAGATTGAGAATACCAATAGCATATTTGAGTGACAAAGACATTGAGGAATTCAATTCCTCAATTATTTTACATAGAATTGAGGGAAAGTTCTGAGAATTACGATAGTTCTTATTAATGATATATTTCAACCGATGATATATAAAATAAATAATTTCGAACATGTAATACTTCATGATAGCAGATTAAGATCTTCCACGACAACTTTCCACTCCAAGTAGTTATTGACAAGCACAATTGACAAGTGCAAATCTGTAATTTGATAAATCACACATCTAAAAAAGCAATGAGAATTTGATACTAACTTCCAATTGAAACAGAGGGTAAAGAGATTACCAAAAGCATATTTGAGTACCGATGACACTGGGAAGTCCGATTCAGAATTCTAAGGTTTTAGTTATAATTCGACAAGAAGCTCTGAGAGAATTATGACAGTTCCAATTAATGATGGATTTCAGTCGACTGCATGAGTGTTTTTCAATCAGTGAAATAAGGGTTTTTAGTCGGTTGAATGAGGGTTTTCAGTCGGTAGAATGCTTGAAGTTTTAGTATAAAGGAATTCAGATGTTTGGGCGGAGAATTTATGGAAATTGAAATAAAGATGACGATAACATTATTTTAACTCCGAATATGAGAGGGTTGAAAAGGAATTTTCACATTGACATTAAAATGATATCAGCAACTGATATCTTTTTTTGTTAAACCACAATTGCAAAAAAAAAAAAGAAATAACGTCATTTATACTAAGAGCATTGGGTCACTCAAACAAAAAGATAATTTGCTCAGAAAAACTTACAAAAATAACATATGAATGTGCAATTATTGGTTTGAAATTAATGGGAAGTACATTTTTGGTAAGGAGATGGTGTAGTTGAATACAAAGATCTAAAGTGTAAAGTGTATACTGTAAGGCTTCTTTTACACTTAATCTATAACCATCTGTTTAGAAATTAAATTCGGAAATCTCGATCCCTAATTTCCACGATTTGTCTACAATTCATTTAATAAGTTCCGTGCTTAAGTTGCCAAACAATAAAAATATCAATTTTTCCTATTCAATTTCCGATTTTTAGTCAAATCCCAAGTTATTTTCCTCCATCATTATAAACTATATTTCTTATAAATTTTGAGAGTGATGTTATTTGTTATATAAGCAACATTATCGAAATTTGAAATATACCATATATACCATATTCTTACTATTTTTTTCATTTATTAAATGGAGCCTCGGATAATACAAAGTGGACAATAATATGTTTTTGTTGTTGGAAAAAATTGACAAAAGTTGAGGATTAATTCTGGAAAAGAATATAGCAGACGTGTAAGCATAGGAGAAGAATGCGCCATCTGCGTTACATTTAAAAAATAATAATTATCTCCGTTACATTTTATTTCCGGATATTTGCGAGAAAAGACAACAACACAGCCGGCGGTTTCAGCCCTATTTTCCGTAAAACGGGAAACGATGGGCAGATAGATAAGGTTCGAGTCAGAGTGCTTACGCTGTAACGCCACTGCATGACAAATACAGTTGAGCATTAACAGCTGAAATCCCGCGGTCGAGGAAGTGCCACGTGTAAATGTTTCTTGACGGTGGAGGAAACATCCAAAAGATCGTAACGGAATGGTTTTATTTGGAAATTGGAATGGACAAGAGGAAAGCGGAAAAGGATTCTTTGCGGAAAGGCGTACGGTGGTTGGTGTACCTATATATAAGGGACCCACGTAAAGATTGGGGGTCAGAATTAAATCTTGGACGTTCAAATTGGGGACATATGAAAATGGCCAAACAGGACGGAATATGGAATAAAATAATATTCTCAATCTTATAGCACCGGATGCGCTTCAAATGTTTTTCCTTTTTCCAACAAAAAAAAACAAAAGAAAGTATTTTCTTTTTAGTTGCTATGATCTGCTGCATATGTAATTATCCAAGTTTAGTTGTCTCTCTACCAAAAAAAACAGAAAGTATTTTCTGGACATTTTTTTATATATTTTTTTCTTTTCACGAAATGGAATATTATCTTTGCATATGCATACAGGTTATTTTGGGCATTTACTTGAGGAAACTATATCAATAATACGGGCGGCATAGATGAATGAAGTATTCCATTTTCCAAAGTCCAAATTATTGGGTGACTTTGAAAAGCATGATTCTATTTCTATGTACGTCTATATGACATAATTGAAACTCCTCCAAATCGTTGCCTTTATCAAATTTTTACCCTCTTCTGTTTACCAAATTTTGATAGGTCAGCGGTGGTAGAATCGATCCATGTAGTGAAGAACTAATACTATAGCAGTTGATATTAGATTTTGACTAGCCAATGTATACAACAAGAGTGTTTTTTTATTATTTTATTATAATGGTTTGCAGTTGTTTGTAACTAACGACGATGTTGTAGTGCCACTTTAATTTTGTGAGATTTTAGAATCATTAGAGCTAAAAATGTAAAATCGAAATAAAGAACTCACTAGTGTAGTAGTTTAGTATATTATCACCCCAATAAAATATTCATGCACCTGAGGTTTTGTTCGAATCTTTCCTCCCCTAATATTAGTTGAATTTTAAACATAAAAGAATAGATAACATTGAGGATAAGATACTAATTAGACATATATCTAAGGTGTGTGCGAACATTGAGAGGGTGAAGATACTTCACCCATTAATTTCTCATATTATATATGTATATATACACTGTACACACATCCGAAAGAAGATTAAAAAAAAAACTTTGCATGTTTGATATATAACGATTTCATGTGCTAGTGTTCAACTATGTACGTAGGTGTTTCTAGATTGGAATCCAAAATCTGCATAAATTCAATCAACAGAAGGAAACGAGTGCTCATAACTTGTTTGGTTGTTTCCGCAATGAATGCGTGCAGTTTGAATTAAGCTCCTAGCTAAACCACACAAGAACATATATGATGCATTCAACTAGCTAAATTAATTTGTCTCTGATGATGCGTGCGGTTCTTTCGTCTTTGATGATCTCATATATTTTGTATTTGTATATATCCCTCTCTCTCTCTCTCTCCCTCTCTCTCTCTCGTTTCTGTTTGGTCAATGAGTGACGCAACAAAGTAGAAAACTCCAAGTTGGACAATGAATGACGCAAAAAAGAAAAAGAAAAAGAAAAAGAAAAAGAAAATTTGTTGTCCAAATGTAAATGAGGGAAAAAGAAAAAGACAAAAAAATATAGAGCTTGCTTTGGTCTTTGGGTGAAGCAAAGTACAAAGTGAACATCAAGTATGTTGCGAAACAGACAGCTTCGTCTTTTATCGAGGAGGAGATAAATAAAACGTCGATAGGTTTCTTTCTCTGCATAAAAGATGAAGCAGAGAAACTATTTGATCAAGTCAGTCGTCGTCACTCTCCCAGCTTTTATCGTGATTTATGCATCATGCACATATCTACAAACTGATTTGCTTCACATCTTTTTAAACTAGCAAAAACAACTACTGTTCATATTTGTTTTAGTACCCATAATTATTAATACACCTATACAAGGGGTGGCTACTTATCTCATCATCATCTTCTATGTGGTGTGTTTGAATTTGAGAGAGATTTCAGAGAGAGAGAGAGAGAGAGAGAGCTGGTGATAGATGGAGGACAACTACAATGGTGATGATGATCAGAATAAGGGTATTGTTAGGGTGTGCACAGAATCACAATCAGATGAAGGTGATGTTGTTGGTGAGGAGTTAGAGCAGGAGGTTCTAAAAAGGACGATCTCAGGCCATCCACTGTATGGGCTGTTGATGGAGAATCACATCAACTGTTTGAAGGTATTTCCTTTTTCTTTTTGTCGGGTTTTCTCTTTTTGGTTCTGGAAGTTACTTGTTTATGATGCAGAATTAAACTAAGAATGATATAAACCTTGACTCAGACTTTTCCATATCTGCTGTAATTTTACCAAGTCCTATGAATCTTTTTTTCATTTATTTTTTTCAAAACATTGTACACAAATATGATATGGTCAGACTCAGACAGAGATGAGGAAGTCCAAAATGGCGTCCAATTTGCAATGTTTTGCATGGTCATGTATAAGTGCAGATGGGTAGCTAGCTAGGTTTAAGAACATATATATCATCACTGTTGACGCCAAAAAGTGGTTCTTTGACTTAGAGGGTCAACTTAGTAATTTTATGCCTCCGGTATCCTTGATGCCTCGGTAGCCTACGTGATCTGCAATATGAGCAAACGCACGGTAAGACCTAGGGCACCGGTGTGGTACCGGGCGAAGGCTCTCCGATGCTTAAGTAAGTTCGAGAATAGAAAGTTCAACTGACATATCAATAGGCTTGTATGCCATAAGTTCTGATTACCTCTATTTTGGGATAGTTTGCCTCCTTTTATAGGTCTTGGGAGGTGTGCATTTGTTGATAAGTTCGATGTGGGACTGTGGACGTCGCTTGGGAGCGTGCCACGTGTCCCAGGAGAGGGTGTTGCCCTAATGGAGAGATCGGTAGGTAGAGTGCCGAGGGCGCCTCTGACCAAGCCCAGTTTTCTCCACGTGTCTTGCCCTTTGCCCTTATTGGCTGTTTATTTTGGGTGTAAACAATCACAGTATTAGAAAAGTGGTTAGGTCAATGGTTAGATACGCATGCGCAGGTCAACAATAACGATAGATGTGAATTATTGACAGGTGGGTTTGGGTGAAAATATTGGAGAAATTGGAGTCACAAGTATTGAAAAGGACAAGCTCAAGGCCGCTGCCATTCCCACTTCTTCAGACCTTGATCAATTCATGGTATGGTAGCTTTCTTCTTTGTATAATTATAAATTATTGTGTTTAATTATGCAGAATCAATATGATCTGTTGGAATTAATCGCAGGAAGCATACTGCGACGCCCTAAACAAGCTTAAAGAAGCCATTGAGGATCCTATAAAAGAAACGACATCTTTCATCACTGATATGTATGCTCAACTCGAGGATCTCAGTGCCTCCAAAAAACCTCATTAACCCGTACACCTCAACTTGAGGAACTGCGTGCGTGGCTACATTTGGCAGATTATGCTGATGATAACTGATGATCTTTGATCACTAAATTTGTTAGTTGATAAGTTATAATAATGTTAATTTGTCCCATCATGAGATGAAAGTACTTGCTATATATTAAATTTTCTTAATTAATTTTGTTTCATCAATTTATAACGTTAATTACATGCATACATTTTATATGGTGGATTTTATATCCCAGTCACACTTATGAGGGTGTATTCAATTCAGATTTTAAATGATTTTAAAAGAGTTATAAAGTTGATGGAGTTTAATTGAATTTAATTGAGTTTGACTGAATTCTACAAACTTCACATAGATTTTGACTGAAATCGTGTATAGATTTTAACTGAGTTTATAGCGATGGCGGTGGTGATGATGGCAATGGCGGTGGCGATGGTGGTTTGTAAGGGAGGTAGTGGGGGTGGCGGTGGGAGTGAGGTGGTGGAGGTGGAACTGGTTGTGGTGGTGGTGACGGTGGGGCTGATAGTGGGGTTGGTAGTGGTGGTGGAGATGGGGGTAAGGGTGGTGGTGGTGACGGTGGGGCTGATGGTGGGGCTGGTAGTGGGGGCGACGGTGGGTGGTGGTGGTGCTAGGGGTGGCAGAGATGGTGGCAACGACGATGATTGTGGTGGTGGTGATGGCGGTGGCAGCGACTATGGTGATAGTCATAATAAGATGGTGGCAGTAGAAGTGGTGAAAAATCATATTTTGAAAATAAAAATAATATATCTATCAAAATCTCTAGGGGGAAGCAAAGATTTGTCATAACCTAAAATTAGTCTATTATCAAACGAAATCCACCACTTTTTGTGTTTCCTTTAAAATCAATGAGTTTTTGAATACACCCAAACTTTTATGAAGTCTTTTAAAGTCGTGATTGAATACATCCAAATTTGAATGGAGTTTAAAAAGTTTGAATTAAATACACCCATAATTGAATAGACTTCTATAACGATGGCGATTGAATACACCTAAACTTTTAAACTTCTTTAAAATCTTTTAAAATCTAAATTGAATACACCCCCTTTAATTATTTACGACCACAAAGACAATATGAAGATTCTTTACTTCATAAATACGATATAGAAGTGTAAAACAAACATGAATGAGGAATGTTTAAAACATAGACAACTTTCAAGTTCCAATATGTTTTAAAAGTCAATGGGTCTAGTCCAGTAGAAATGGGCTTTGACTTGCATACCAATGGTCTTAGGTTCGAATCCTCATGCAGAGACAATCCTTATAAATAGTAATTTTTTAGTGTTCTAGGTATACCACGTGGCTGGTGCACCATTCAATAAACACAGGACATGTGGAATATTTCTAATGCAGCAAGTCACATGTCATAAAAAACAATTAAGTAAGTTGGAGAATAATTTCACATGCCACATGTGTATTGGATGATATACCAGCCACGTGGTGTACCCAGAACATATAAAAATTTCTCCATGAGAAGGGACCAACATGGGCTCCCATGTGAGTTTTTATTTTATCAACCCACACTTTAATTTAGCCAACCTAAGCCTATTAATGACAATCATGACACACTTACATCCAAAGGCTCACAACAAACCAAGACTACTGGCTCATCCAACAATACACTAAGGACCCGTTTGGTGGGCCAGATAAATTAGGTGGATTAAGATTTTAAATCCAATATGGTGTTTGGAGGCCCAAAATGAAGTTGGACTGGATTGTGTGTAATTCAATCAAACCCCAAAGTATGCGGATTGTGTGTACATAAGGGTAAATTTAGCCCATTTCATTTTAAAATCATGGGTCCGTCCCTACCCCGATAACATCTTGGTAGTGTATGTATGAGAAACTCTCATCTCTTGTAGTTTAGACCATTGCTTGTATATTTTTTTAAAAAATGTTTTACAATCTTCATGCTCTTTTTTATTTTCTTTCTTTAATCTTGTTGTAGAATTATAACTGAGTCCAATAGCCCACATAAAGTTGGGCTCGGTTTCGTCCAAGAAATAAAGAGTTGGGCTCGGCCCGTTAAGTTCCATTTTGCCCAGGCGGCGATCTTCTGTGAGTAACTAGCAAAACCACCACTTGCACACCAAACTGCAGGGAAAGTCCAGTTTGCCTCTCTCTCACCAAAGAAACAAAAGAGAGAGAGAGAGAGAGAGAGAGAGAGAGTAGGAAGGAAACTTCGCCCTCTAAGTTCTACACTTTTCCCTTCCGCTGATTCTTCTCAATTGTGCTGCTACTTCTATTGGGTCTTTCCAAAACCCTATCCCACATCGATTTTTGAGGTCAAAATCTTGGGTTTTCTTTGAAAAGGAAGCAGCAGAGTAGGGGCATGGTGAAATCGGCAGCGAAGAGTGAAGATGGGTCTGGTTCTGGGTCTGGGTCTGGTGGATCGGTGGCTCCTTTTCTGAGGAAATGCTATGAGATGGTGGATGATAACGAAGCAGACTCTATAATCTCGTGGAGTGAAACCGGTGACAGCTTTGTGATATGGGACATGACCCAGTTCTCGATTTTATTGTTGCCCAAGTATTTTAAGCACAGCAACTTTTCTAGCTTCATGAGGCAGCTCAACATCTATGTGAGCTTTTCTGTGCAATTTTTACTTTTTCTTCTATCTCGGTTTTTGCATTTTGAGGTTTCTTTTTGTATTTTGTGGAGGCGTTCTTTAGCTGCGTTACAATTGTGGGTTGAATTGGTTTTTGTCAAATTGTGCTTATATTTATATTGGATTTGTAGACTTTTTTCTTCTTGTTATTCTTGCGGCAATCCCAAATATATATAATAAAAGAAAACTGCGCATTCGTAAATGATTGTAAACTAGAAGAAATCTCGGAAATCAAGTTTTATTTCTTGCGTAGATGATTAGTTTGCTCATTTGAGCCTAAACTCGTGCTCAATTGGTCCAAATCAAGTTTCGTATTTCCTTCAATTGGAAGTTTTCTGTGGTTATCCATTTAGGTGGGACTCAAAAAGGAGGGTCTGTCTAAGATGTAAGCCTTGGCCCTGAGTTAAGACTTTGTAAAATAGTTTGAATGGTGAAGTTCTCTTTTCCAAGCCTGATCCGTCTCCCTTCGTTTTGTCCCAGTTGGCCCTGAGCTAATTAAATGGTTGTGCTTCAGTCTCAGTTGCCCAGAAATGCTATATTGAGAAAATAGCAATGTATATAGTATATAGCTGTATGCATATGTTGTATATATCTGCTCTACAGGCGCACTTGTGTGTTTCTCTGTGAGTGTAAATGTCATGTTACGTTATTTGAATTGTCAACCAATAGTCAAGTATTCATGAATCTTGTTGTTTCAGGGCTTCAGAAAAATAGATTCGGATCGTTGGGTGTTTGCAAATGAAGGATTTATTCAAGGTCAAAAGCATTTGTTGAAGAATATTTCTAGAAGGAAACATCCTCAGGGCACAGATCAGAGAAAAGCATTACAGCAGAAAGACAATCCTGATGGGCCTTGTGAAAACATTATTGAAAATGGTCTATGGAGGGAAGTTGAGAACCTGAAGACTGATAAAGTTGCTCTGAAGCAAGAGTTGGTCAAGCTTAGGCAGCACCAGGAAATTTCAGAAAATAACTTGCTCCTCCTGAGGAACCGCCTTCGTGGAATGGAGAAGAATCAGCAGCAGATGCTGTCATTTCTAGTTATAGCCATGCAAAGTCCTGGGTTTTTAGTTCAGCTTCTTCAGCCAAAAGAAAACAGTTGGCGCATTGCTGAACCTGGAAATATGCTAGAACAAGGTGTAGATGATCGTATACCAATAACTTCTGATGGTGCGATAGTGAGGTACCAACCACCTATGGATGAAGCCCCGAAGCCTGTACTCGCAGCGAATTCAGGCGCAGACAAACAAACCGAATTTGATTCTTATATAGATGGAATGAACGATTTTGTCGTGAATCCTGATTTCATGAAAATGCTAATGGATGAAAAGTTGAGCTCTCTAGAAAATCAAGCCCCGTATACCCTACCAGATATATCTGATGATGGTGCATGGGAGCAGCTTCTTTTAGGTAGTCCTTTCTTAGAAGATATTGAAGCTACAGAGGAAGATGGAAAAGAGACTGTTGACTCTAGAATGGAGGTGGAATCAACCGCATCGGAACTGCAAGAATCACAGAATTTTGATACTTTAATGGAGCAAATGAAGAAATCTCAGAACTTTGCATCGGAATCAACAGTTTATGGATCTAATGTGGAGAGCTCTCAAAGCTTGGAACATATAACTGAACAAATGGGATATTTAGCTTCTGACTCTAACAGCAACCGTGGAACACAATCAGGAAAGTGAGAGCTTCTTGTGGGATACCTCATACATGTAACACTCTTTCTCAGTCAACTTAACAAATGTAAGTTGCTTCTTATTCTTCAATCAGTCTTTTATACAGTTTAGGAGAATCATATTTTTAAGAATTGAGGCTACCTGGAGTTCTGAAGTAATTTGTGTTGTTGGGTTGCATGCTGTAATTTGAATTATATCTACTTACCTTTACTTCATTTTGCTTATGGACAGATTTTGGTGGGCGGCATGACCGTTGGGAAGAGTATTTTGCTTGCAGTTTTGCTCTGTTTCTACATGTAATTCGAGTAATTTTCCTGTGAGGTTTAATAGCTGCTTGGTTAAAGAGCACTGGAGAATATATGTCATCTGCGCCACTGCAGTGGCTTTGCTTTTTCTTAACTTCCGCAACTTCACTTGGTATATTTTTCTTGTAACACTGCAGTGGCCTTGCTTTTTCTTAACTTCTGCAACCTCACTTGGTATAGTTTTCTTGTACCAACCTTGTAAATTCACGGGACACCGTTCTCATTTTCTCAATATAAATGAAAGACACTTTGCATATGACGTTCTACTCTCTCTCTCTCTCTCTCTCTCTCGTGGCAACTAGAGGCGTTCTCTTATGATATTTGATATAGCACACATGCAATTTGAAGATTCGATTTCATTTTTCAAGGTTGTTAGAGATTCTAGGTAACGTTTCTTATTTCTAAGGGCTAGTTGTAGTAAAGAGGGTTT